TGGAAGTTGGACAACCAAGGAGTTAAAATAGACACATTCATCCGGACGGTAGGAGGGGCGGAGTCGGGCAGCTGGGTGCAGAGAGGGGTAGTGACACAAAAAGCAGTGGCACCGGATTCATAACACATATCCTGGGTGCATAAGGCATCCAGAGCACAAGACCACAGCAGGCGGACCTGGGCGCACAGGTGGCTGGCAGACCCAGCGAGGTGGTGACTATGAAGTGAGACACTGCATGCAAGGTGCCTGGCTGTCCCTGCAATCCCACATTCACACACAGATAAACCATGCAAAATTGGGCAGTGAGACAGGATGCGCAACCCAAGGTCCCAGCGCCGGGAAACAGAGCCTCGCGACACTGATTGAAAACACCTGCGGGGGTTGAGGCGCAGGGAGAGACTCCCTGCCTCACAGGAGAATGCGTTGGAGAGACCCACAGGGTCCTAGAACATACACAAGCCCATCCACCTAGGAATCAGCACCAGAAGGGCCCAGTTTGTGTGGGTGAAGTGGCAGAAGAGACTGAAATCCCACAGAGAGAGGAGCAAGCACCATCGTTCCCTCTCAGACCCTGCCCCCATATACAGCGTCACAACCCAGAGACTGGGTTGACCAGCCCTGGTGAACACCTAAGGCTCCGCCCCTCATACCTAACAGGCGCAACAACATACACACAAAAAAATGGCCCAAAACAAAGAACAGATCAAAGCTCCACAGCAAATACAACTAAGCAACCCAGAGACAGCCAACATATCAGATGTACAGTTCAAAGCACTAGTGATCAAGATGCTCACAGAATTGGTTGAATCTGGTCACAAATTAGATGACAAAATGAAGGCTACACTAAGTGAAGTGAAGGAAAATGCACAGGGAACCAATAATGATGGGAAGGAAACTGGGACTCTAATCAGTGGAGTGGACCAGAAGGAAGAAAGAAACAACCAAACAGAAAAGAATGGACAAATATGAATTCAAAAAAATCAGGAGAAGCTTAGGAACCTCTCCAAGACAGCTTGAAACGTTCCAACATCCAAATTACAGGGGTACCAGAAAGGGAAGAGGAATTGCAACAAGTGGAAAAGTTTTTTGAGTAAATAATAAAGGAGAACTTCCCCAATCTGGCAAAGGAAATAGACTTCCAGGAAATCCAGGAAGCTCAGAGAGTCCCAAAGAAGTTGGACCCGGGGAGGAACACACCAAGGCACATCACAATTACATTAGCCAAGGTAAAAATGAAGGAGAGAATCCTAGAAGCAGCAAGAAGTAAGGAGACAGTCACCTACAAAGGAGTTCCCATCAGACTGTCAGCTGATTTCTCAAAAGAGACCTTAGAGGCAAGAAGGGGCTGGAAGGAAGTATTCCAAGTGAGGAAAGGCAAGGACCTACATTCCAGATTGCTCTATCCAGCAAAGCTTTTGTTTAGAATGGAAGGACAGATAAAGTGCTTCTCAGATAAGGTCAAGTTAAAAGAGTTCATCATCACCAAGCCCTTATTATATGAAACATTAAAGGGACTTATCTGAGAAAAAGAAGATAAAAAACATGTATAGTAAAATGACAGCAAACTCACAATTACTAACAACCACACCTAAAACAAAAACAAAAATGAACTAAGCAAACAACTAGAACAGGAACAGAACTACAGAAATGGAGATCACATGGAGGGTTAGCAACAGGGGAGTGGGAGGAGGAGAGAGTGGGAAAAGGTATGGAGAATAAGTAGCATAGATGGTAGGTAGAAAATAGACAGGGAGAGGGCAAGAACAATATAGGAAATGCAGAAGCTAAAGAAGTTATGACCCATGGACATGAACTAAAGTGGGGGAATGTGGGTGGGAGAGGGTGGAGGGAAGTGAAGTGGGGAAATGGAACAACTGTAATAGCATCATCAGTAAAATATATTTTTAAAAAATCAAAGAACTTTTGGATACCCACAGATGCCCACAGTGCTTCCTTTCCCCCTGCCCTAATTTGGGGTACCGTAACTCAGGAAAAGAAGCAAGCGTCCAGGATCCAGGCTCCTGACACAGTCAGCTGTGTCGCCATCCAGGCAGTATCTCTAATTAATCCAAAACCATGTGGCACCTTCTCATGGCCTACTGGCAGGAATTCTTTCACCCTTCTTCCAGGTAGTCTCTTCTGCTTCCCAGGCCATGTGGCCAAAGGGAGCACCCCAAAGCCACGCGATCCTCTTCTACCAAAGCTGCAGGAGTCCCCACTCTGGCCAAAACTGTATGGTTCTTCTCAGCAAAACTGTGGAAATCCCCATTCTGGCAAAACCTCGTGGTTTCCCCTCCCTTGGCTGTGGGGGTCTCCAATCTGCCAGAAGCACGTGGCTCTCTCCTCTATTGCTATAGCCACATGGTCCTCTCTCCTTAATGGCTGCTGAGTCTGGGTTTAAATCCCCATGGCAATTCTCCTCTGCAGCCCCATTTCCAACTCCTCCCACAATTGTCTACACTTGCCAGCACTCCCGTTTCCTTCCAGCTTTACTGGGCTGTCATTGTAAGTCTGGGCAGGTGTGGCCCCATGTCATAGAGACAATCTTCTCCAGGCTCTCATGCAGGTGCTATAACCAGGGGGAGCTGCCCCCAGTTACAGCTTGAGTGGAAGTGACTTCCATCCCCCTGGCTCCAAGCATGGCCTCAGCTATTTAACATATCTATGCAACCAGTTAAAGGTTACAGATATGTTAAACGACCACGCCAGAGGTTAGCTGCAAAGCTGTGGCTGTACAAACAGCTTTGCATGTTCCTGCTCCATGTGTCCCTTCCCCCAACCCACACCTGTGGGAGGGGGGGAATGGGGAGGACATCCTATATATCTTTCTAATATTTCTTAGACACCTAGAGTTCTGGACCCCATTCCAAATCCCTATTTGGGGCTCCCCTCTTGGCTGCACCCTGTTACAAGAATACAAAGAAAAACCAAGCAAAGGAAAAAGGTATGTGGGATGAAGACCAGAGGCACCAGACACAAGCTTCCTAAAGCCTCTATTGGTGAAGTGACACAGGAGGTGGTTAATTCCTCCAGCAAGGGGTTATGACAACGTAAGAAATGCTGTCCACTCATTAGAGACTCAGTACTTGGGATTTTTACCAGAGCTAGTCACATTAGACCCCCTTTGCCTCGTGCTTACCAAAATGTCGGACTCCCAGAAGGAAAGCACGTGTTCAGCCTAACACCTACAGTTGGGGTACAGTGAGCCACTCTTAATCTCACTTTTTTTTAATCCTCATCCAAGGACATGCTTACTGATTTTAGAGAGAGGGGAACGGAGAGAGAGAGGGAGAAAAATATTGATGATGTGAAAGAGAAACATGGATTGGTTGCCTCTGATATGTGCCCCACCTAGGGACTGAACCCACAACCTAGGCATGTGCCCTGACTAGGAAACAAACCTGCAACCTTCCGGTTTACAGGACAATGCTCCAACTGAGCCATAGTGGCCAGGGCTGTCACCTGTCTTTAGGAGTAATGGAAACCCTCCCAAAATCCAAGTTTCCAGCACCAGCCTGGGGCCAATTCTGCAAGCAGGCATTTTTAGAAACAGCAGTTTCAGGTCTGCTATGCTGACTTTTTTCTGCACCCAGCTCTCTACATGTCAATCACCGTGTCATTTCCCCAGACCTATTAGCTCACTACAGCAACCTCTGAACATTATGCAGGAATCCAAATGCTAAGATGGATGGTTTGTTCATGGCCTAAGGCCACCATGAGCTAAACAGCATGGTAAGGCCATCCTTGAAGCAGGTGAGAATCTACTGCCTAAGGAGGCCTGTTTTCCCAACAATGATCATGACATCATCAAACAGCCCCCTCCCTCCAGCCCCTGCTCTTCCTGTTCATCTGTGTCCTGCAATTTTGCCCAAGAGGCTAATAGTTTTGTCTAAGTTTGTCTGTCACCCAATTGTTCTCACCATCCATTCAAAATCCACAAGGCTGAGGCCAATAAAACATGGACATAAAAATTCTCTTCTCATAGATTACCCTTTGTAAAGCACATGAAAGTAGTTTTATTCCCATCTTGTACACAGCACAGAGGCCATGGCGATAGTGACAATGGGTCAGATATGACTCTATAAGAAGTACAGCCCCACTCAGCTGCTCACGGAACCCCTACCTTAGGGTGAGGGGCCCACCTCTGTCACATTTCATCAAATGAAATATATGACTCCTGTATATTTCAATATTCCAGCCCTTATCTAGATGCTGGTGAACACTTGTGAAACAGGATAAAGAACATTAAAAGGTGAGTCAGAGAACAGGGCTACAACCTTAGCTCTGACTCTTGGTAGCTGTGTGATTTCTCAAGTCACTTTATGTCTTTGGGCCCCTGCTGTTTCCATGGCCACAGTGGGAGGCTCTGACACACAGCTTTGTGTGCCCTGTCCATGTCTAACTTCTCAGGGTTTTCACATTGCCTAAAGGAATGGGGTGGGGCAAAGGATTTAGAATTCATTTGGTGTTAAGATTTCTACATAACAGCTCAAATTATAAATATCCAGCTGATCACTGTTTTTAAAAGTCTGACTAAAACTGAGACATCTGTGTACTCAAGATGTCTTGATTCTGATAAGATGCTGATCCCCTTGCCCTGGCTTCTACATGGTGAGGCTGATGTTACTGAACAGAAAACTACCATTTCAAAGATGTTTTCCAAACAAAATTCATTCTAGAAAGGCTCCATTCATTCAAATATATTCGGAGCACATACTACAACCAGGTGCTGTGTGTATGCAAGATTTAGAACCACATGAACCAAAAGAATGCTGAATTATCAAAGTCAATCAATTTTAAATATGCTTCCAAAATCAGGATATGGCATAGGACTTGGCTAGATGTCTAGGAGGGGACCCCGATGTATGATCTGGACAAGATCTCCAACCACCAATCTACTAACCATGCATTCTTTGAGTCAAATTATCACAACAAAGTACATAGCACAAACCAAAATGTTAACTGAAAAAGCGAAGAAAAGAAAAAAAGTCTGAACTCACCGGGATTGCGGCAATCCTTTTTTACCCAGATCTGCCCTCACACGTTCTCCTACATGTCTGTAGATTTCCACTAAGCTGTTTATTGCTGCATCTCGAACCTGGGTGTAAAAGAAGAGATCTTACAGCTACTCTGTGTCACCCCGCAGCACTTCCTGCTGGGGCACAATAGGCTATACACCACCCCAGGTTTATCACCAATGTACCGATGCAACTATGAATACAGTCCTTTCTACACATTTGACTAGATGAAGCCATGTTTAACATTTTAACAGTTTTGATTCTGTAGGTACAATTCCAAGGAGTAGAAAAAAATTTAGGTCCCATCCCTATATTCAAGTCCATATCCCTTTGTTTTTTTCATTCTTTAAGATGATGTCAGTAAACTAGAACTTTCAGGGCATCTTTCCAAATTAGAAAGCACTACAAAAAAATGATTATACTAAAAATAAAACACCACGTAATGTATTCTGGATTTAGGTCAAACATTTAGTGAAAGAGAAAAAATGGGTAGTATAGGCTACACAGAGCCCTATATTCAATAAGAAGCTGATAAAAATTTTAAAAATTGAAACTGGGTAAAAAAGAGCTCATAGTCCTAAAAGGGAAATAGGAAAAAGTCCATAAATTCTACATTTAACACAGAATAAGAGGTAATAAAAACAATTTTATAAAAACGTACAAAGGGTTTGTACAGTTAAAGGGAAAAAGCACACCACAGTATACCAAGAAACATTTTATGGAAGAGGAAGGAACCACTTAAAATGTGCTTACAAGGACTGCATTTTACCAAGTAAAGATGGAATGAGACAGGTGCCAAATAAGGCATAGTCTGTACAAAGGCATGAAAGCAGGTGTGAAGGGCATATGCTTCAGGAAGAGCAAGTAAGCAGCCTGGCACAACATAAGTATGAGCTAAGGAAGCAGCAATAAATAAGGCTCAAGAAACAAAATGGAATTTAAAAAAAAAAAAACTTGGGGAAATTTGAATATGGACTGTATATCACAAATTGTCATTGTAGCAACATTAAATTTCTTGAATATGAAAATGGCATTGTTATATAAGAAAATACCCTTGTTTTTAGGAGATACACACTGAAGCAGGTAGAGAATAAAAATATCATGTCTGTATCATACTCTCAAATGGTTCAGAAAGAAAGTGTATTTCTGCCTACCCTCAAACTCACTACAGAAAGGAACCCTAACATTTCAGGCCATTAGGAATGCAAAAGACAAGAGCCTCATATGTTAAATACTACCTGCCAGGCCCAAGTTGAATATTTTACAGTCTGAGGTCTTCAAGTCTATGACCTTCCTCACAGGGCCACTGTGAACTGTGACACAGAGGAGGGCATGGAGGCTGGAGAGGCTAGCCACCTGTGGGTCCCACAGCAGATAAATAACAGAATGGGCAGCAGACTTCTACCTCTGAATGAAGATGCTCACATCCTTTTCACTTTAGAACTGGGTGTCAAAGTCAGAAAGCCTAGAACTCAAGGAAGGGCTTCACCTCCGGGGAAAGGGAGGGCACCTGTAAATTAGTGGGAAGCCAAATCTACCCTGTCCTCTGAGAACAGCAGTGCAGCCCCACAGCCAGCCTGCCTTAGAAAGCAGGTGCCACAGACCTGCCCAGACTCTACAGGGGTCAGATGCACTGCAATGCCACCTAAGGCCTGCAGCCCCACCTCCCCATTTCTCAAGTATTGGTCAAGCCCTAAACAAAGGCTTGCCCTCTCCCCTACTGAGTATTGTCCAGCTGCGGAGAGCATTGAGGTCAACAGTTCTCAAACATTTTAAGATGTTTTTAGGCTTTGAAGATGTGTCAAACTCATCTATAAACGGGACTTCCTTAAGTGTAACAACAAATCAATGTTTCCCTCTCCCCACCCCCCCTTAAAAAAATCAATTAAAATTTTTTAAAAAAGAAAAGAAAAGGGACTTCCTATGTATATGATGTCTTGGATGGCAAGCTGCCTTTGTTAGAGCCACTGCCCCATCTTCCTTGTCAAAACACACAGGCCTTGTTCTGCAATCTCCACTAAAGGAAGGAAATCCTGTTCTCAGATAAGGAAGTAACCATCACATAATCCCAGTCCATTCCCAGCTATTGGGTAACAAAAGGGCAAGGGATGTCATTCTCAACAATAAAACATACATGGCGGCAGTGGTGGGGAGAGTGGGTGTCTACAGGAAACTTCAGAAAAATGCTTCTTTGCCCTTACAAAGAGAAATGCAGGAAGCTTAAAGAAAACATGAGACATTTAGGAAAAAGCGAACACTGACTGGGTGTCTGATGATAAGAATTACTCATTATTGACGAGCAGGGGGAATAATAGTGTTAAAGTTATGTTTTTGAAGAAACAGAGTCCTCATCTTTCAGAGTATTTAAGAATTAAATGAAATGATATCTAAGATTTGTTTCAAAATACTGGGATGGAGAGGAAAAACAGATGGAACTAAACCAGCCTTGTCTTATTAGTTGTTGAAGTTCAATGACAGACACAAGGTTATGCACTGCCATTCTTTCCACTTCTATGTAAGTTTGGACCTTTCAACATGGAAAAAGTGAAGGAGAAGAACACAGGAAGCACCAGGGTTTTGTCTATTCAGCCTGCTGAACATGCAGCATGCCGCTGGGCTATCCCTGAACTGTGGCCCTGGGGAAAGCTGCAAAGGACAAGCATAAGGACTGAAATGGCCAAGACCCTAAGTATCTTGGTAAATCACTGATCCACTAACAAACCCTAGAGTCCCCTTCCTCTTAATACAGGGTGATATACTCTCCCCCTGCTCTAGCATTTTTGAGTTGGGACTTCATTTACTTGGAGCCAAAAGCATCCTAAGCACACATTCTTTATATCTATCTGTGGGCCACTCTGAGAAGCTTCTGAGGGGGTTCCCTGGCTCTGAGTCACTCTGCACTCAGAACAATATGCAGATGAACTGGCGTCCTCTAAGGCAGGAGTGTCTGCAGAGTTCCCATTAAGTGTCAGCCGCATTCTGTAGAGCCAGGGGCAAACTCTCCATACTAGAGCTGAAGACTGACTGTAACGTCAAGTACCACAGTGCAAGGACAGCATTGATAAGACACAACTGTCCTTTTTGGTTTGAGACATAAACAGCTAAGAAAATCAAGATACTCAAACAGCTGTGGGGTATTGACTCAATCTTAAAACTGCTGGAATGCAGTCCTAGAACAATAATGAGCAAGTTACAGTCCTGACTCTCAAGGGCCATAGACTAGCAGGAAAAACTAATGAGAAGCACTGGGAAGTTTCCTGGCAGGACTGGTCCTGGGAGATGTGGACTGTGTGTGTTTGTGCCTGCATACATATACGTGCAGATAAAACACTATGAAGGCAGATATGAATACACAATTATCTTCAGAAATCTCAGTCTGGAATATTCTGGCTGTATCTGTCTCCTACAAACTGCTGACAGCTGCCCATATAGCACCAACCTCATTTTACCCCCAATTTTCATCTCTCACAGGCCCAGCGTGACTACTCATATCACCTCTGTGGCCAAAGTAAGCAACTGCACTGGGAACAAATGTGACTAGCCAGGCTGACTTTTCTGCTGCACTAAAGGGTATCATGTGGCAGCAGTGATATCCTCAAAGTGTTACCTCTATAAAGGACATTTTTCCCCACAGAAAACAAAAATGGAGGGTATAACACCAAAAAGCGGAGAGGGGCAATTTAGAGTTTTTAAATAACTTTTATTTTTTATTTTCTAAAAAGGATTTTTATTTTTTAGAGAGAGGGGAAGGGAGGGAGAAAAGAGAGGAACAGAAACACCAATGTGTGAGAGAAACTTCAATCTGTTGCCTCTTGCACACCCCCAACCGGAAAACCTGGCCCACAATTCAGGCATGTGCCCCAACTGGGAATTGAACCAGCAACTTTTCAGTTCGCAGGCTGGCACTCAACATACTGAGCCATGCCAGCCAAGGAAAAAAGGGTTTCTTTCAATTAATGTTGAACATAAAATATGATTTTGTAAATAAAAATATCTAGAAATTATATTTCCAATGTCATATATTTAAGGCTAGATTAGAGAATGCATGCAAAAAAGTGGGTATCAGGAGGGGAGACCTGAGGAGACAGCTAGGACAGTGAGCCTACTACAGACAGAAAGAAAAGCAGCCTAGAGAGCAGCAGAGAGAAGGTGCAAAAATGTAACTGAGATTAAAGGCAAAGATGAAATGAAGATGAAAGGATAAGACAATACATGGGAGGTGTCCCAAGAGCTGATGAAAGCAGGAAGGCACTTGAGCAATTACAAATCAAGATTTTTAATGAAGACCTGTTTACATATATTTCTTTGGTAAATTTTTGTTTTTATTTTGAGCCCCTTTATCTAATAAAATGTTTTTCTTAATGTCATACAAATGACTCAGTGATAAGTAGAACTGAATGAGGCAAGAAAACTGGAACAGTTCTGGACCCCTGACCTGGAAGCCTTCATGAGCTACCTGGTAACCGGTCATATATTACCAGCTCCTCTCCCACCCCCTATACTGAGGAAGTAGTACTTTGTTTGCAGGCTTTGGGTTTTTTGTATTGTTTTGGTTTTAATTTAGGTAAAATTTACATAAAATATCTATAGTGCTTAAGGGGTCAAGGAGTTTCCACAGGTGTACACACCAGTTATAGCCACCATGAAAAGCAACAACACATAACATTTCCACCATTACCTCAGAAAACTTCCAAGGTCCTTTCCAATCAATTTCCCTCACCCCACAGGCAATTACTGTTTGACTTCAATGAGCACTGATCACTCGCCCCTATGCCCACACTCTTTTGGCTGCAAAGATGATAGCCAGAGTAATATCTTGGAGGCTGGTCTGGAGGACATCACTATATGGGCTAATTAAGTCTCAGCCCACATAGAGAAGAGGGCAGAGTGGTCACCACATTTACCAATGATATCTTATAAATGCTAATGAGCATTATAAATGCTAATTATCTAGAGACTTCTGGCCAAGATGGAGGCATAGGTAGACACACTGTGCCTCCTTGCACAATCAAAAGAAGGACAACAGCAAATTTAAAAACAAAAAACAACAGAACTGACAGAAAATCAAACTGCATGGAAGTCTGACAACCAAGGAGTTAAAGAAGGAGGAGTGGTAGGAGTGGTGGAGATGGGCAGCTGGGTGGAGAGGACTTGCAGCAAGGCGGTAGCTGGAGGACCAGATGAGGCAGTGGCTTATAGACTGGAGAGTCCCACATTCGTGTGCAGACAAACCGGAAAAAATAACTGGGGAGCAAGACAAACCACACAACCCAGGGTTCCAGTGCAGGGAAATAAACCCTCAAAACCTCTGACTGAAAATACCTGTGGGGGTTGAGGCGGCAGCAGGAAAAACTCACAACCTCACAGGAGAGTTTGTTGGAGACCCACAGGGTCCTAGAACATACACAAACCCAACCACCTGGGAATCAGCATCAGAAGGGCCCAAATTGCTTGTGGGTAGCGGATGAAGTGACTGAAAGACGGCAGAGAGCTGAGCAAGTGGCACTGTTCCCTCTTGGACCCCTCCTCCACATACAGCATCACAAGGCAGTGACATGGGTTGCCCCACCCTGGTGAACACCTAAGGCCCCGCCCCTTACAATGTAACTGGTGTGCCAAGACAAAAAAAAAATGGCCCACATGAAAGAACAGTTCAAAGCTCCAGAAAAAACACAACTAAGTGACGAAGAGACTGCCAACCTATCAGATGCACAGTTCAAAACACTGGTTATCAGGATGCTCCAGGAACTCACTGAGTACATCAACGGCACAAAAAAGACCCAGGCAGCAATGAAGATTGCATTATGTGAAATAAAGAAAAATCTACAGGGAACCAACAGTGACAGGAAGGAAACCCAGGACTCAAATCAACGGTTTGAACCATTAGGAAGAAATAACATCCAACCAAAACAGAAGGAAGAAACAAGAATTCAAAGAAATGAGAGGCTTAGGAAACTCCAGAACATCTTTAAACATTCCAAGGTCTAAATCATAAGGGTGCCAGAAGAACAGGAAGAGCAACAAGTGGAAAACTTATCTGAACAATTAATAAAGGAGAACTTCCCCAATCTGGCAAAGGAAATAGACTTCCAGGAAGTTCAGGAAGCTCAGAGAATCCCAAAGAAGTTGGACCCAAGTAGGAACACACCAAGGCACACCACAATTACATTAGCCAAGGTAAAAATGAAGGAGAGAATCCTAGAAGCAGCAAGAGATAAGGGGACAGTAACCTACAAAGGAGTTCCCATCAGACTGTCAGCTGATTTCTCCAAAGAGACCTTGCAGGCAAGGAGGGGCTGGAAAGAAGTATTCTAAATCAGGAAAGGCAAGGACCTACGCCCAAGATTGCTGTGTCCAGCAAAGCTATCATTTATAATAGAAGGGCAGATAAAGTGCTTCTCAGATAAGGTCAAGTTAAAGGAGTTCATCATCACCCAGCCTTTATTATATGAAATGTTAAAGGGACTTATCTAAGAAAAAGGTCAAAAATGTGAACAGTAAAATGACAACAAACTCACAGCTATTAACAACTGAACCTAAAAACAAAACAAAAACAAACTAAGCAAACAACTGGAACAGGAACAGAACCACAGACAGGGAGATCACATGGAGAGTTATCAGTCGGGGAGTGGGAGGAGGGAAAAGGTACAGAGAATAAGTAGCATAAATGGTAGGTACAAAATAAAAAGGAAGAGGTTAGGAATGGTATAGAAAAAGGAGAAGCCAAAGAACTTAATATGTATGATACATGGACATGAACTAAAAGGTGGGGGGGGGGGGGGGAATGCAAGTGGGAGGGGGTGTGCAGGGCGGAGGGGAATGAAGGGTGGGAAATGGGACATCTGTAATAGCAATAATCAATAAAATATATTTTAAATTTTTTAAAAAAAATAAATGCTAATTATCTTAAACAATAATCAAGAGTTCTATAAAGATGAATAAAGTCCCACCAACCTATCAGATGCACACAGAACACCAAATGCTTCTTAACTGTCTACAACCAATGATTATTTCTTCTCATTAAATCACACTCACCTGGCTGTTTGGATCTCCAAGTAAATTACATATATGTGGCACAATCTTGCTTAGTGTCAAAGTATGTGCTCCAGAGCTGAAAGCAAAACAAGTGTTTTATTGTTGGTGAGAACAGAGAAAAGAAAGAAGCTACTCTGCCCACACTCACCTCTTCTTCTCCATCCCCAAGGCCCTGTTGCTACGTTACACCCAGGAGCTCCCCTTCTTATCTTCCCAATCTCTTTCCCATCTGGTTCCAAAATAAATGTGTTGAAGTGTCCTTTTGGCAGAGTTCAAAACTATTAGTGTTTCTCACTGACACGTCCTCTCCCTGGCACTCAGGCTCTCCAATTTGGCCCTAAACCTTTAACACCAAATGAGAGAGAGCCTCAGCCTTTCCCAGTCTTTCTTACCTCCCATAGAGTTGTCTCTGGATTACTATTTTGTCAAGTAATGGTTCCTATTTTGCCCAGCCTGGCACACACAACTAAACTGAAGAGTCCCTCAATTCTCCCTCTGTGCACAGCTTGATGCTACTACTGACATTCAGGTAATAACAGCTGAATGAAAAGACTGTGATAAAATGGCTGCAGAGGATCCCAACTACACACTGCCCTGCTGGAGAATATTTGTTTACAACAGTCACCATAAACGCTGTCACAATATGCTTTCTGAATACAACTGTCTCTGGTAATCTGGTTGCTTCCTAAGGATACATTCTTAGAAGTGAAACTACTGTGATCAAAGGCTAGAAACATTTTTTAAAAGCTTTCAATACATATGACCAAATTTAATGGCACTGAAAAGGCTAACATGTGAGGAGGGAAAAAATTTACATTGTAATATAAATGTTATAATCCCAATTTTGTTGTTAAAAATAATCTAACTTTACAGGCTATAATAAAAGTACCATAGTCAATAGTGATTATCTGAAGGTAGTAGAATTTTAGGTAATCATTATTTTCTTCATGTAAATTTTCCACAACATATACAACATTACTTTCATGATCAGAAAAACTGATTTGTGATTTTTAATTTTACAAAGCTTCTCCTACAAATAAACACATGAAAAATGTTCAGCATCAACAGTCATTAGAGAAATACAAACTCAAATCACATTGAAATACTACTGCACCCATATCAAAATGGCTCCAATTAAAATCAGTGATAACGTTCAATGCTAGCAAGGATATGAAAAAACTGATTCATTCACACATTGCTGATGGAAGTATAAGATGGTATAGACAACTCAGGAAAAAAGTTTGGCAGTTTCTTTTAACACTAGAAATGAACTTACCGAATGAATAGCAATTACACTGACCCAAGAGAAATAAAAGCTGAGGGTGAAACAGAAACTTGTACATATGTTCACAGCAGTTTTATTTTTAACAGCCAAAAATTGTGAATGATTCCAAGGTCCTTCAACAAATAAATAGTTAAATTGTGATACTTCTATGTCATGGAACTCTACTCAGCAATAAGAAAAAATGAACAACTGTTTTAGCAACAACATATATGCAACCTCAAGGGGAGTATGCGGAGTGGAAAAAGCCAGGCTCTCAAAGGGTTACACTGTATATGATTCCATTTACGAGGGAAGACCCAAAAAGAAACTGGAATTACCTTCTGGAGGGTGGGCTCCTTGTAGTACAGACTTCCCCTGCTAGCTAAACCTTCCAGGAACTCATCCGTATCAGTTTACTACCAGCTGGTACTGTTCTGAGAGGCTGTGTTCAGCTTCAGTGAGTATTTTTTGAAGATTCTTTCAACATGTTTGCCCATTTCATGATGGGTGATTTATGAGCACACCTGCCCACACCACGCTGTGTTTGACGGTTTTTTAACCAATAACAGCATGACTCCATGCCCACCCTCCCTCTTCATCTGATCCCTCCCAAAGCAACTTTCTAGTTATTTCCCAGGATGAAAAAAGTCCTCAAAGAACCTTCTTGCCCATATGGAAGAGGTCTAACCAAAACAAACAAACAAAAAAACAGCAACAAAAAAAACACAGCAGAAGCACTAAAAGGCATAAAAATTGATGTGTTCAAAAACTGTTTTGAGCAGCAGACAAAATGTCTCGATAGGTGTATCGCATCAAATGGAGAGTATTTAAAAGTACCAAAGTGACTGAAGTTCAAACATGTAAAAGTAAATACACAATTTTTAATAAATAAATTCATATGTTTGGAGGAAGGCCCCCAGCCCCAGAAATAACAGTTCTGAAATAAAGTCCATAGAGATGGAGATCAGATTAGCAGTTGCCAGTGGTTAGGGACTGACTACAAAGGGGCAATGTGAGGGAGCCTGGGGTGATGCACAGATTTGTACCTTGACAGTGGTGATAGTTACCTGGAGCTCCACATGTGACAGAACTGTGCAGAAATGCACACACATGTGTGTGGCTGGAGGAATCGGAATAAGCTATATGGATTGTATCAATATAAATTTCCTGGTGTTGTCGTTGCATAGACAAGATGATAACAGTGGGGGAGAGGGGTTGCAAAGCACCTCCCAGTACATTTGTTCGCAACTTCCTGAAATCCATAGTTATTTCTAAATAAAAAGTTAAAAATAAAACAGTTCATCCAAGGAAACCCTCAGGCCCCACCCAGACTTACACATTAAGTGTGGCAACAAGGCAGACACACGTGCCTTCCCGAGTCCTGAAATTCTTGTGCTTGAAGCCTCCCAGCATTCGGTCCCACACATACTGCAGACAGCAAAGAATAGGTAAAAAGAAAAGAAGAGACTTCTGCATTATTTTGTTTAATATGGGGTCAAATCAGTCCTGGCTGCTACCATCCCATTAAGTTATCTGAAAGACATATGGAAAAATGGTGACTTATATTTGTAATCAAGTTTTTTCAAAACACATCCCTTTATATAATTGCATTTAATTCTCCAACAACCCTAAAAGAAGGTATAGCTGTCTCTATTTTATAGGTAGAAAAGGGAGGCCAAAAAAGCTTGGTGACTTCAAAGATCACATACTCATATTGCTCTTGGCCTGGAACAGCTGTCTGCACCCTGTCCACAAGTTGAACATCTGCTCATCCTTCTAGGTCAGTCTAGTTTTTACCATCCCTGGGAAAAATTTGTCTGATACCCTCCCCCTGCCAAACAATGGGCAGTTGGACCCTTGAAGGCAGGGCTGTGTCCCTCAGTCTGTCTGTCCCAGCAGCCCCAGCTCACTAGGAGAGAGAAAGGCTCCAAGCCAAGACTCCTAACATCCCAGACACCACAACTGCTCTTTTCAGAGAAACACAGAATCAATTACATAACTGAGTTTGAGTCTATGGATTAAACCAAGCACTCAAAACCCATGTTAAATTCACTAATTTATTCAAAATACACCCTTTGCTATTTATTTAAATATCGAGAGGGGGAGGCCAAATAAAAGCTATGAAAATTTTCATCTCAAATACATCAGATTAGAAGAAATAAACCTTTTCTATATGGAGTAACCCACTGATGTTAGGGGAATACACACACGCCACCTGGCCACAGAACGCCTCCCTTGCCCTACCTGGGGACTAGCAGCTTGATCCATGATCTTTAGCAGCAGAGTCTGGTCTTGCTCCCTCACGGAGTCTTTAGCATCTCCCAGTCTGTCTATTAAACTTGGCAGCACTGGAAATCAAAATCAAAACTGATCAAATGAATACCTGTTGGGGTGGAGGGGTGTGGTTATCAACTATTGATATTTTAATTAACTGGGAAGACAAAGTCCTAGCCTAAATGAGGCCCAGCATCTAAAACCACCAATCCCTAGAGTACTACTCTCTTTGTTAACGCCTGTGGAAACTACTTTAAGAATCAGCAAAATCCTTCTTTGCGTGGGCATATTAGTTTGTCATCTTCTTTATCACAACTTCCTCCAGCCAGGTCCCAATATATTTTTATGCTGGTGAAGTATCACTCTGGGTGTCAATAGAGTATCTTCGTAAGAAACAGTCAACACAAAAGGAAATTTAGGTACACAAGAAAGAAGGGCTCCACCCTATTTGCTTGGGGGTATAGAAAGAACACACACTTACGGCTCCATCTACCTTTTGTCTACACTGTGTTTTAATTTTACACAACACACACACAAGTTTATCAGACAGAGTCCACCTCTTCCACTCCTCCTGCATACATGTGGGGTATGGGGTAATGTAAGTGCCTACCAGAGGTCAACTTCTTTTAAGAGTCTATGAACCTTTATTTTACCAGAGGTATTTCTGAACAATTCAGCTAATTTAGGAGAAAAATGGAGCACTACTAAAATGCTGGATTTTTAAAAGTAAGGGAGATTTTTGTATGTAGATGGACAGTCAGTGCCAGAATGGAAAAAAGAGTTTTTGACTTGACCCAAAGGAACACACTAACCAGAAAGTTAACAGAAAATAACAAATACACATATACCAACTGAAATGGAGGTGTCTATAAGGAAATGCTTGCACACACAGGTGTGCTGAGTGATCATGTTGTCATTACAAAATCACAGAGATCAGGAATTTAGAGATGAGTAAGTCATCTCTAAATCTATGAAACCTGTGGTTATTTTTATTTCATTTCACTGATATATCGTTTTCTCTTCAAAATAAGAAAGTGATCCTTTACTACATAGTTATAATCACATTTACAATCAAAGTGGAAACAGAGCTGGCTGGGTTAGAGGGTTGTCCCAATAGCCAAAGTGGTGGGTTCCATCATGGTCAGGGTACATACAAGAAACCAACCAATGAATAAGTGAACAAGTGAAACAACAAATCAATGTTCGTTCTTTTCTCTAATAATCAACATTTTTTAAAAAAAGTGAAAACAGTAATACCAATAATAATCATCTGGAAAAAAATACAACTGCAGGGGATTTGCAGTAATTCTCAGTGAGGGAATGTCTCTCAAAAGGGAAGGTTCAGGGACAAACACGACCTGGAAAGCACTTAAATGTGACAAATAATTTGTACAAAAAATAAAATAATTATCAGTAACACTTCGTATTGTAACATAAAGGTTGGAAGAAGAAGTCAACAGAAAAGTATTGGGCGAAGATGCCAATAGATACGGTGAGGCCAGAGTACCTAGGGTGAGCAGCGGAGGGGAGGGGAGGTAGGGGTGCAGCCCCAGCACATGGTGACTAAAAAAAGGGGTTGGGGCGTTGGCTGGGAGGCTGAGAGGACTAAAGGGGTCGGTTAAGGGACAGGATGGGGCAGGATGGGGCAGGAAGGGGCAACAAGAGTGATGGCTGGGAGGACTGGGCACAGCTAACTGGAGGATTTGGGAAGACTAAGGGGAAAACTGGAGGCAGGAGGATGAAGAATATGGGGACCCGCTCCACACTTGCCCACAGCTTACCTGTGCCGATCTGCGCCTTGAACCGATCCTGCAGCCGGGTAACCAGCGCAGACAGGATGTCCATCCCCAGAAGAACCACCTGCAATGAGTGGGAAACATTGGGACCCTGTTAGTCGCCAACACCGAACCCAGGGCCATCGCCCAGCAGCTCCCGGAAGTGCCCAGCAGCTCCTGGAAAGCTCCTGTATCTCTCGCTCAGGCGCTGTCCCAGAGCCCAGAAAGCGCATGCCGACTGGCAAGATTGCATTGCTTATCAAGAGGAAAGCTGATCCTGCACAAAAGGAGGAATTTATAATTTTAATGGAAATGGTCAGTGACTAAAAACGAAATAAAAAACCGCCACAGCCTGACCATGTCCAAGGAGCTAGCTAGATATGGAATATCAAGAATAAAACGCAGCTCCGCCCCCTGCTGGCCCTGCCCCCAGAGAGAGCGCATATGCAAATTGCTCATGGCTGAAGTGTGGCCTTCTGGGTAAAACAGAGAGCCCGCTTCGCTACCCTCAGAAGCCTAAGAAAAGAAGGAGTCGGTGTTTAGCTTCCGAGACCTGTGTGGTCAGCTCAAGTACACTAGCTAACTCGCGACTAGGCAGACTTGAAAATGAATCACCACAACCCTACCAGGTATTGGCCAATCCTGCTTGCCGCGCACGCAAACATCTCACCAACCATCCTTTTCTTGGGGTTGCGCTACTGTTCAATGAACGTCTAGTGAGAACAGTACTGCTAACACCATTACAACACATTCGCATCAACTAAAGCTTCGCTTTACTTTGGTGCAATTTTTGGAAAACAAAGGAAAATGAAAGCTCTTTTCCACTACTACGCAGTTAAAAAACAGTGGGAAATGAGAGTTTAAGTTAATTCTGGCTCGTTGCAGTATTGCATTTGGCCGCTAGACGGTGCATGTTAACTTAATTATTTTCTTTCACTCTCTGTTCTGGTTTTACATTAAGGATGATTAAACTTACTCTTCCACCATGGAAAAATCCCATCAACCACCAGGAAAATAAAAATACAAAATTTCTTCTCAGGAGAAAGTGATTTTGCATCTTGCCAGTTGATTACATGAAACGTGACTCAAAAACAGAGTTGGAGCACAGCCCAGATTTCATAGGGAACTACTAGTGAACAAGACTCAGGCAATGATAATTACCCAACCGTTAATTACCTCAGGCTTACATAAACGTTAGTTACATGGTAATTATGATTCCTTGCATCTGCCTACCTGTTTTACGACTAGTATTAGAAACTAAAACTACAGGCTTTTCCACTCAACTCTGAATCCACTGCTTCAAAATTAGGGGAAGTAAAATTTACCCAATAATCACCTTAATACATAAACTGCCCTTGCAAGAAACTGGCGACTTGATGATATTGAAGGACATAATTTTAAATGTTTTTATAAAGAGAACACTGGTTTTTAAACAGTTTGAAAATATATAATGGTATAAAACACTTTAAAATAATGACTTTACTCATGAGCTACAGAGGATTAAGTATCACATTTTGATAGTGAGTTCCTCAATTTTAAGTTAGAATGACAAACATTACCTCAGCCAGGTGATATAGGTTAACATCAATGGTCATAAATTATGTTGATAGTGTGTATGCTGGAATGTGAATAAAATGCCATTTTGCATCAGGGACTGTCCTAAAGACCCATAAGCCTGGTCTAATCATAAGAAAAGCATGAAAATCAAATAGAGGAACATCCTACAAAATACCAGACCAGTATTACTTAAGTAGTACTCCATATCAAAGTACTCCCCCTGCTCCATCAAAGTTATCAAAACCAAGGGAAGTCACAAATTGTCACAGCCAAGAGGAGTCCAGGGGAACATGCAATGTATCATGGCCCTGTAACAGATAAAGGACCTTAGATAAAAAATAAGGAAACCAAAATAAACTGGGCTTAGTTAACAATAATGTATCAATATTGCTTTATTTTTTTGTAACAACCCATGCTAATGTTAGATGTTCATAATTTTGGAGACTGGTGTAGGGTACATGGAGACTCCGTACTACCTTTGTAATTTTTCTGTAAATCCAAAACTGTTATAAAATTTAACGTTTATTTTTTTTAAAAGAGCAATCTATCCATTAGTTGGTCTTTATCCATTAGGCTTTTCCCTAATGAAATCCTATGCATTAGATGATTGCATTACTATTTGGGAATGAACGGTTGTTATTCATTACAGAAACATTAATAATGCTGCCCTTTTTCTTTTTAATCTCCCTTGTTGCTCTTTTATGGCATTTACAAGATGCTCCTGCTTTTTAAACTCTTCATAAGGCATAAACATGCTTTCATGACTTGGGACACTTCTTTCCAGCCCCTTCTTGCCTACAAGGTCTCTTTTGAGAAATCAGCTGACAGTCTGATGGGAACTCCTTTGTAGGTGACTGTCTTCTTTTCTCTTGCTGCTTCTAGGATTCTCTCCTTCATTTTTACCTTGGCTAATGTAATTGTGATGTGCCTTGGTGTGTTCCTCCTTGGGTCCAACTTCTTTGGGACCCTCTGAGCTTCCTGGACTCCCTGGAAGTCTGTTTCCTTTGCCAGAATGGGGAAGTTCTCCTTTATTAATTGTTCAAATAAGTTTTCCACTTGCAATTCCTCTTCTCCTTCTGGTATCCCTATAATTTGGATGTTGGGACATTTAAAGATGTCCTGGAGTTCCCTGAGCCTCTCCTCATTTTTTTGAATTCTTGGTTTTTCATTCTTTTCTGATTGGATGTTTCTTTCTTTCCTTCTGGTCCACACTGTTGATTTGAGTCCCAGTTTCCTTCCAGACACTACTGGTTCCCTGTACATTCTCCTTTATTTCACTTAGCATTGCCTTCATTTTTTTGAACTAATTTGTGACCAAATTCAACCAACCCTGTGAGCATCCTGATTACCAGTGTTTTGAACTGTGCATCTGATAGGTTGGCTATCTCTTCATCACTTAGTTGTATTTTTTCTGGAGCTTTGATCTGTTCTTTCATTTGGGCGCCCCCCCCTCCTGCCTTTGGTCTCAGCTAGCCTGCTATGTATAAGGGGTGGACCCTTAGGTGTTCACCAGGGCGGGGCAACCCACGTTGCTGCATTGTGGTGCTGTATGTGGGGAAGGGACCAAGAGGGAACAATGGTGCTTGCTCTGCTCTCTGCCAGATTTCAGTCACTTCCCCCACTACCCACAAGCAAAGTGGGCCCTTCTGGTGCTGATACCTGGGTGAGTTGGCTTGTATACATTGTAGGACCCTGTGGGTCTCTCCAATGAACTCTCCTGTGAGGCTAGGAGTTTCTCCTGCTGCCACCTCAACCCTCACAGGTGTTTTCAATGGGTGGTTTGAGGCTTTATTTCCCTGCCCTGGAATCCCTAGTTGTGATGTCTGTCTCGCTTCCCAGGTGTTCCTCCCAGTTTATCTGCACATGAATGTGGGACCTCCAGCTCCATTAGCCGCCTCGCTGGGTCCACCAGCTGCTGCCTTGCCACAAGTCCTCTCCTCCCAGCTGTCTGTCTCTGCCCCTCCTATCAGTCTAAATGAATGTGTCTTCTCTAACTCCTTGGTTGTTGGACTTCCATACAGTTTGATTTTTCTGTCAGTTCTGGTTGTTTTTTGTTTTCAAATTGTTGTTGTTCTTCTTTTGGTTGTATGAGGAGGCACAGTGTGTCTACCTATGCCTCCATCTTGGCCAGAAGTCCAATAATGCTGCCTTCTTATCTCACTGTACTTCTTCAAAATTCGTTGAATACTAAGATGTAAAAGGACTACTGTATTTTCAGATATGACAGTCCATGTCAGTTAACCTACCCCTGGAGTCTGGGGGAAAACAGACTTTAAGCTCTTCCAGAATGAATGGAGGTTCACTTGGTAGGTCTGACCAGAATAGGTCTAGCTAAATCACGAACAGTAGAAATCAAAAAGTCTTACCCAACTGGCATAAAAACAGGCACGTGGACCAATGGAACATAACAGAGAGCCTAGATATAAGCCCAAGTCTCTACGGTCAATTAATATTTGACAAAGGGACCAGCAACATAAAATGGAGTAAAAACAGTCTCTTCAACAAATGGTGTTGGGAAAACTGGACAGCTACATGCAAAAAAATGAAACTTGAGCACCAATTTATACCTTACACAAAAATAAATTAAAGGTGGATAAAAGACTTAAATATAAGCCATGTCACCATTAAAGTCCTAGAGGAGAACATAGGCAGGAAAACCTCAGATATTTCACGCAGCAGCATTTTTACTGATATGTCCCCCTGAGCAAGGGACATAAAGGAAAGAATAAACAAATGGGATCTCATCAAAATAAAAAGCTTCTTCACAGCTAAAGAAAACAGTATTAAAATAAAAAGAGAACCAACTGTATGGGAAAACATATTTGCCAATAATACCTCAGACAAGGGTTTAATCTCCAAAATATATAAAGAACTTACATGACTCCACTCTAAGAAGACAAGCAACCCAATTAAAAAATGGGCAAAGGACCTGAACAGACACTTCTCCAAGGAGGACAGAGTATCCAGAAACACATGAAAAGATGCCCAATATCACTAGCTATCAGAGAGATGCAAATCAAAACCACAATGAGATACCACTTTACACCAGTCAGAATGGCCATCATAAACAAAGCAACCAACAAGTGTTGGAGAGGTTATGGAGAAAAGGGGACCCTAGTGCACTGTTGGTGGGATTGCAGACTGGTACAATCACTATGGAAAACAGTATGGAATTTCCTCAGAAAACTAAAAATGGTTCTGCCTTTTGACCCAGCAATTCCACTGCTAGGATTATATCCTAAGAACCCTCAAACACCAATCCAAAAGAACCTATGCACCCCAATGTTCATAGCAGCACAATTTACAATAGCCAAGTGTTGGAAGCAACCTAGATGCCCATCAGTAAATGAATGGATCAAAAAACTATGGTACATTTACACAATGGAATTCTATGCAGCAGAAAGAAAGAAGGAGCTCCTACCCTTTGTAACAGCATGGATGCGACTGGAAAGTATTATGAGAAGCGAAATAAGCCAGGTGGTGAAAGACAAATACCATATGATCTCACCTGACAGGAACCTAAACAAC